AAGAAAAAAAAAAAACCCAAACACAACAAAACAGTATTGATTGTTCAGGACAGTGGAGACTCTCATGAGTCAGGAGAGGATGCACAAGTGTGGAGAGGCAGCTGCAATAGAGCACTAAGTGTCTCAAGGAGAGGTCTGGAAGCCTAAATATCCACTGGAGATGTAACAGACTCAAGTTTGATCCCCAACAACAATAGTTGGATTCACATCAACAATAATATTTGCAGTTCCTGGTTTGAAAAAATAGGACCAGTTGTGATTGTTGAGCTTCTAATTAATGGCTATTCTCAGCATCCCAGAGATTCTTGGCCCTGGGTTTCCAGGTCCATTTAAATTATTGCAAAGGATCCTGGAATCTAAGTCCTGCTTCTGGGAGAAGTGGGAAAGCCTGAAGGACTGCCTGCCTAGATAGACGGTGGCTTCCACATCCAACCATTAAGGTAAGATTTGAGGACAGACTGCAGGTCTAGTAGAGACCAGGGAAGATGGGCATAAGATGGACACCAGAGATCAGTGGGCAGAGTTTCTGTCATGTGTGTGAGTGTGTGTGTGTTGTGTGTGTGTGTGTGTGTGTGCATGCGCGCGCTAGGTTCCTCTTTTACTCTTTCAGAGAGCTCATTAGCTCTTTTATTTTCAATAGTCATCCCTACCTGGGTAACTATACTTCTGGTCCTAATCATATCTCATATTATCCAGAGACAATTCCCATTGGGATTTTTCCTTTCACTCAAATACAACATATCTAGAACCAGTTTGAGTAGTGAACAACTGTGGTGCTTCATCTCTCTGAGATCATACCTGCCCCTGCCATGTATTAGGAGCTGTGACACTAGGCCACTGCTGTTTGGCGTCCCCTGTTACTGCATGTGTGATTCCTAGTTAGGTTCCTGGTCTGTTGCCTTTTCATCTGCTCCTGCAGGGTTAGGAATAGGTTCTCCTGGTCTCTCCTCAGAGTCTGCTCCTCCTATAGAACAGGACACCATCACCAGCCCATGTAAAATAAGGGCATGACCTCTCAATATCCCCCATCTTCAAATTTCATGAAGCACCATACATACCTTTTAGTTTTCATAGTAGAAAAGAATTTTCAAATTCTAAGTGTGAGGAATTGCAACATTTCAAATGAAAAACTTCCTGGTGTTTGCTTATTCAACTACATTTATCTCTGAAAGACTTATTTTATTCTAGGTAATCAATGACTTCAAAAAATAATTATACCTTCTTAACCAGATCTCCCCTTATCCTTCCCCCAGTCTCTGTCCATTCAGGAAAGACTTCAAGGAACATTTAAGTTAGTACTGCAATCTGCAACTGAATTTTGTCACATCTGGGTTCTAGAAGGAAACACGGCAAATTCTGATAGGACAGTTGTTCCGAACAATTCTACTTCAAGGAGTTTATTCCAAGGAAAGAAACAGAGATTCTCTCAAAGGCTTATGTTCAGAATATTCATTTCAGTTACTTGTAATAATGAAAAAGTAAAAAATCTACATGGATAGTTAAATAAATGATTTTAGTCATGTAATATAATGCATCCATTAAATATCCCATTTTAAAAACATTTTTTATGACATGGAAAACTCCTATGCTTTAATATCAAGGAAAAACAATAACAACCACAAAAGCCCCCTGGCCATAAAAAGCCCCCTCATCAACTATTGAAATTGTTTTCATTATGATCTAAAATTTACTCTTAAAAATATGAATGACTGTCAATGCCAGAAACAACACAGATAAAAAGTAATTATAAGCCAGTAATCCAGAATTTTAACTGGTTAACTATCACCAGTGGGATTTTAAAGTGATTTCTATATTTTGGTTACAATATAACTTGTTTCCCAAATGTTCTAGAAATGTGTAATTTATTCATTCATTAATATATTCAATAAACATTCAAGTGACTGTTAGGTGTCAAGCATTCTGCTTTGTGCCAGAGAGATTCAAATGTACAAGACAGAACAGATGTGTTCTTTGCTCTGCCCAGAGTTTACAATCCTGTAAAAATAGGATAGTTTTCTTTTAAAAAAAATATTTCATTTGATCCAGTAATTCCACCTCTGGGACTCTATCCTAAGGAAATTGTCAAGACAGCAAATCAATCAGGAGGGTGATACAGGAGGATCACAAGTTTATGACCAGGTTTAGAGAAACCCTGTCTCAAAATATAAACTAGAAAGAACTGGGGATTTAGCTCAGTGGTAGAAAACTCCTGGTTTCAATCCCCATTACTGGGATAAAAAAGCAAAGCAAAATTTTCATATAGATGTATCCATTACAGCATTAGTCATAATAGAAAAAAAACCAGAAATCACCTAAATACAGTAGGGGAATGGAAAAATCAATAATAGTGCATTCATATAATGAAGCAATACTAAGTTATTATTATGTTTCTAAAGATTGTAATAACATGGGCAAAGTTACCAATGTTTTCCACCAGTATCTATGGGAAAACGTAAGCTACAAAATTATATAGACTCTGACCTCAATTATGTAGTGTAATATTTATAAAAGAGAAAAATCAAATGTTAACAGGTGTTATTTTTGGATGGTGTGGTAATGGCTGATTTGAATTTCTGTGTCTATGCTCTCCATAATTCCTGAGTGTTTTGCAATGAAAAAGGTTTAATTTTACCATCAGAAAAACCATGCTGTTATTTTTAAAGATTTGATTCCAAGGTTGTCCATTGAAAATTCAAAGAACACACAAAAAGGTAATTTAACATTTCCTGCAAGTCTGCATTTCCATGTTGGAAAAAGGAGAGAGAATTCATAGAGAGCTTAAGGCCCCTTTCCAATTCTACAACTTTCCCAGGGGAGAATGGATGCCCATGCATGCAAGAGACACATTTACCAGGGGGCCTAAGGGGATGAATTCACTGTGTGCTCATGAAGCTGAGCAAGGAAAACTAGAAGGAGCACTTGAGGTACATGAAGACAGAGAGCTGAACCCCCAAACCTAACTCCAATTTGAACTCTAACCCTGAGTCATGGCTGCACATTAGAAACACAGGACATTTCTTGTTGCTGTCCTTTCCCATAATTCTGGCATCTGAGACCCTTTGATCACATAGAGCAGGTGTTACAAAGGGTCAAGGTCCTGCCGTGGTTTACCTAGAGAAAAACAATAGTGAAAATATGTCTCCTTGTCCAATTCACTGTGAGGGTCCTGGTCCTCATTTCTACCCCTAATCTTCTAAATTCCAGAGGAAAGAGTAGAGCTGTGAAGTATGTTCCTGTGTTAGCCAAAGGGAGAGAGCTGTCTGCTGTGCTCCATCAGCTGCGGAATGCCCTAGCTCACATTGACTGACAGGTCTGCAGGGCTTAGGCAAGGCCCTAGCACAGAAAACAACAACAACAAACAAAACACTACCTTACCCTCTAATTTAGGAATCAAGAAAGTGTATGTAAGGCAAAATGACATCATGTTTCATTGCACTGATAAATGGTTCTGTATCATGCACTGAATTTTTTTTTTTTAAGTTTATAAAAGCTACTGTAAAGGAGCTAGTCAATACAGAAGGACTTACAGGTGTATCCCACTTCCAGCAAACTGAATATCTGAAAACCAGAATAGCATAAAAGAGTACCACTACCACTTTAAAAAAAACTGATTTACCTTCTACCTTTAAAATATAAATGGATTCACTACAACTTGCTTAACGCACAACATATCAAGCACAATAAGAGTTGCACAAAGGGAAGTGTATATGGAATTCACAAGTTAACATTTGGATACCACCTTACAGGATAAAAATACAGATTTTTCTGATTAAAAAATGAAAGAGACTTTAAATCAACTGCAAATCATAAACAATCTTTATGTAAAAGGGGTTAATAGTTTTGAGTTTTAAAAAAGTTTTCTTGTAGCTCCTTCTCTGGATTTTTTACATTCATTTATCTCAGCAGGTACACCAAAAGAATCCATTTTAAAATCACCGTGCAGGTGTTTTAAACATGCTTCCACATCCAGGGGAGCATTTGACACCTGTGTCCATGCACACACACACACACACACACACACACACACACACACATTAGAGACCTGGGACACCTACAAAAAAGTCAATACCAATAAAGCTGTGCCCTAACAGTTACTTATCCATCATGCCCCCTCAAGAGCCATTCATTCTAGAACACCAGCCTGTCTTTGAAAATGCCAATGTTTTCACTTTCCATCAGCTTCCGAAACCCTAATTTGTTAATTATAGGGAATGAAGGGCTCTCACTTGTTTGGCCAAGCATATTTTCTGTGGATGCAGACAGGCTAGAAACATTGACTTTACATAGCAAGAGGAATTTAGGAATTGTCTGGGTAAGCTTCCTGATCCTTAGGAACTGTACTGCTCTCATTCTTGAACGAGAACTCGTTGGGGCACAGAGGAAGCTGAATTAGAATCTGGAGTGTTTTATGATTTGTATGAAATGCTCTTCACATTCAAATAATAACTGGAGAGTTGAGATGGGAACTGAAAGTCCCTGAATCGTCAGGAAAAAATGAAAAATGAGAAAATTTGCCGAGGTGTGCTTAAAACACAACACAACATGAAGCTGCTTAACAGAAGAGCAGGCCTGGAGGAATTTACAAAGCTCCCTTCAGGGGCTAGTTCCTTGACCAAGCCCTGGGAATGCCCCTCAGGCTTTAAGGAGAGAAGGAATATATGGAAAACAAAACAAAACAAAACAGGAGTGGAAATGAAAGTGTCAGGGAGATGAATGAATGAAGTAAGGAAAGTTATATTAAGAAAATGGGAGTGTGTGTTGAAAGCAAGGGAGACTGGTAATGGGTGATAAAAAAAAGGTGAGGTAAGGGGAGAAAGATGAAATAGAAAAATAAGATAAAGGTCTCCATCCACCATTGACTCAACTGACAGCCAGTAAAAGCCCCAGGGCATGGGTGGCTCATCTTCCCCTTGGACCATATATGACCCAGCCCCCAAACTCCAGAGCAATGCAGTGGTCCACTCCGGACACTTTCTCACTTCCGCAAAGGGCAAGCTCACCTATCAAAAGCCACAGCCGTCATGGAATAGATACTGGCGAAGACAGCAGCGATGGGGAAGAAGTTGTGGAACTTGCAGTAAAACAAGCCGTAGTACCACTCGTTGTGGACAGCGTAGGTGAAATTCACCACTGTATTGAACGCAGCCATGGAGGCCTCCGCGAAGGCCAGGTTCACCAAGAAATAGTTAGTAACTGTCCTCATTCTCTTGTGGGCCAAGATGATCCACATCACTACCACATTGCCCACCACGGAGGTCACCACGATGACCGTGTAGGCAGCTGCCCAAAGGACAATCTGCCATGCCGGCTGCACAAACTGGTTGGGTTCCGAGGTGTTGGTGGAGATGTTTGGGAAGAGGTCTGAGTCCACAGGGAGGACATTATCCATTGTGCAGCTAGGCAGCAAAGACCTCCCTTCTGTACACCGGGGCTCTCTTTGCAGCGGGGTCCTGTGGCAGGCTCCTGAGGCTCAGGGCCCTGCTTAAGTCAGGCAGGAGGGAGGAAGTCTCTTTCTGGGCAGAACTCTCCTTATAAGCCGGAGACTTGGCGCTCAGAGAATAAATGCTAGCTTTACCTTCTGCCTGCCCCTTGTGGCTCTGAATTCCTCCACTTTCAAGCTTCAGGAAGCATTTGAGTTCCGAATCTGAAGTCAGCGCCTCTTCTGCGTCAAACTGAAAGGGGAAAAGCAATTCCACCGGTTACGTTCTAGGAAAGAAGAGAACCCCGCCTTTTTTGCACCTGCTGCTATTTGCAACTCCTATCTCCCCTTTCTTCAGCGGGAAAGGCAAAGCCCTACGTTGCGTGAGGACTTGTGGGGAGGGAAAGAGGGCCTGCCACAGCGCTGTCTGTAAAAGTTCTGATTCTATGGCCAGAATTCTGGGTCCTCGTGTCCAGCTGAAGAATTTTTTTTTTTTCTTCTGCGCTTTAGCTGAAGCCGCCGCTGCCGCTGCCTGCAGCTTTGCAGGCGTCTCTTGGTTTGGGTTCTGCTCAGCTCGGGAGTTAACAGAACCTCGGCAGGCTGCGCACGAGGCTTTTATAACACGCTGCAGACACGTCACTGGGAAGGGGGCAGTACCTGGGCTGCTTACTCGCCAGTCCCTGTGCGCAGCGCTGCGCCAGCTGTTGGCAACTGTCTCACTCCACCGCCGCGGCAATCCTGCCTTTTGCTGCTTGCTACCTGCTGTGGGCGTCTGTAAGCCGGTCGCCGCAGCAATCCACCAGAGGGCGGTAGGTGGCCTGGGAGTAACTAAGCCAGATGGGTCCACAGCTGGAACCACATTTGCACCAGGGAGTCTGGGGGGAAAGGAAAGATTTGGGAAACAGTTGAAGTGAAGGACAGTCAACGTTCAGGGGAGGCAGCCTAGAGCCCTGCTGCAACTCTGCAGAGGCGCCTGCTTATTAAGGCTGTGGCAGTTGGGCAAGTGGGAAGGCAAGGTGCCAGCGCTCCAGCCTAAGAGCACCACAGGCTTGAACTGCTTGAAAACAACCGGTTTCAGGAGTCTGGAAAACTTTCGTACCCACCCCATCTACTCCCCCCCGCCCACCAAAAAAACCCAAAACCACCCCCGCAAAGTAGCTCCTCTCCCTGGCAAGCTGATTCTCCTGGAAAGCACCTGGAAAGGTTCTAAGCCTTCGTGCACCTTCTCCAGCCACCCTGATGACTTGGCTCCTCACTCTAGGAGAAGCTTCTTCTAAGCCTTCCATCTGAGCTCTCAGGACGAGCCTCCCCGCAAGCACTGGGGACTAGACTGGTCTCCTTGCGAAGCTTGGTGAGTGCAGAAGCCACCCTTAAGCCAGCGAGCGTGTTGCCCAAACGCGGTTCTGGGCTTTCTGCCAACACTCGCTGCGGATTCTCATTCGCTTCCCGGGAACTGGCAGCCTCCTTCTCCGCACCTCCCTGGCCCGCGGACCAGCTGGGACCAGAATGACTTGGGGGCTCCTTACCCTGCCCCTCTTCCAGGTTTTTATAGGAACTGTAGGCTACGTCTGTCCTGCCTTCTCTTCCTATTCCCGCCCCGCCCCTGGTGGACTTTGAGGCCCCCAGTCTCCCAGTTAGAGGCAATTTCAAAAGGTACAGCTGGGGATTGGGCACTGGGAGAAGGTAGGGGAAAGGCAGGCCAGAGAGAATCATTTTGGAGAAGCTGAGATGGGCTTCCTGAGATGAACTGAGGAGTGTGTTCCGGGTGAACTGCGGTGGGCAAGGGACCTTGGAGTCTTTCCTGGGGCGCCATCTACCCCTCTGCCATCCTTTTTCCCTGCGGGGGACTTGGAACTGCTAGACGCAGGCGGGGTAGCATCAGCATGCGTAGGCTGGGCTGGCTCACACGCTCACCCTCCCGAGAGACAGTGGTGTGTGCACACTAGTTTGGCAAGCGCGTAGTCTCTCACGCCAAATACTTTAAGGCTGGAAATTTTATTGTACTGATTTGTGGCAGGATAAAATCGGATCCCTCCCCTGGGCAGGGAATCTGCTAGTTCACTCTGGTTTTGCTTTCTGCACATATATAGGAACCGCCCTTCTCTCTGCTCAGGCATCCTTAAAGTTTCTAAGCCCTGCAGAGAAAACTCAAGGGATGCCTTAGATAGTGCCCCCCACCACCCCGTGGAGAGCAGCGGTATAATATACATCCTCTTTTGCACGGCTTCCTCACTTCATTTTGGATCTTTCATTCCTGCTTTCACCAGCTGGAGGAGCTCTGAAGAGAGGATGAGGGGCCCTGAGGAGCTGGGGGTGCAGGAGACTTAAGTCTAGAGAAGGAAAAAGAGGCAACTAGCTATACTAGAAAGGTATTAAGCACTGAGTGAAAGAGAAGAAGTCCACCTCACCTAGACAACCAAGGGAATCTGGGTAGAGTGTAGAAAATCCTACCCATCAAGAACCCTGAAGGATGAGTTAGGATGGGAAGAGGCTGAGATAAGAGGGAGGAGAATATCCCAGACAGAGTTTTTATAAGTCATGTTAAGTCAATCTGCTTGAAGTTCCATGAAGACTGTCCGGTTAACTTAGCATAACACCTATAGTCCTGGGCTGGGCCTCCAAGGCTGGGCATTCTCCAACCTGATGCACCTATGACGAGTGCCCTGGGTTGCTCTCCTTCCTACTCTCTGTTCTTCATGGCTTGTAGTCATATACCAGGGGGTATATGGCTTGCTAAAGTTAATTTCTTTCCAGAGAAAAAACAAAGTATACTCAGGAGGGGGTTCACAATTAATAGAAACCCAAAATGCCTTAGCTACACTGCAGCAGAAGGTGAACACACTCTAAGCAGGGACACTCTCTATCACTGCCCCTTCTGAAAATAATGACTTTCTTTCCCATTTAGGAATAAATTTGCACAAATATATAGGTAAGATCCCATGCATTCTATTTTCCTCCAAGATTGGATATATTTTTTTCTTATCCTTGGGTTTCTTGGCTTCCCTTTCTACTGACCTCCCTCCTTGACACACAAAACAGAGTCACCCATCTTGAAGGAAATCCTGTTGACAAAGTACTTTAAATCCAGGCTGTCTTTATCTAGACAGGAATGCAAACACACATAATACCCATACCTGAAAATCAAATAAGGGACTTTCATTGTTGTCTACATTTTGTTTTTCTCACTCAAAACTTTGTCCAAATGCTCTGAGTCAATGAGTATAGATGAACTTATTCTTTATAATGGCTAAATATTATTGTTATGGTATAGATGATGAACTATCATTCATACACTCATTTTTTATTCTTAAAATTTCTATTTTGTTTCAGTTTTTGCCACTAACAACAATGAGCAATAAATATTCTTTACCTCTGTATCCAAAGCCTGATATTTTTAATGCTTTTATTCTTTCTTGTGCTCTCTCTGTCTCTCTCTCTCTCTGTCTCTCTGTCTCTGTCTCTGTCTCTGTGTGTGTGTGTGTGTGTGTGTGTGTGTGTGCTGGACCACCGAGCTACATCTGAAGCCTCTGATGTTTTCTTTTGATGGGACAGATTCCAAGTGGAGTTGGTGGGTAATTTGTAATACCCATAAATTGATGTTATTATATTATTTATATTCGTGTGCAGATATGTAGATGTGCTGTTTCTATTTATACTTTAATATTGCCAGATTGCTTTCCAAAGAGAATGACATACTGTTATATTTCACTAGCAATTAGATTACTCCTTTCCCCACACATACTCTAGGAATAAGTGTTAAAAGCCTTTTTAATCTTTTTTCAGACTAGTCTTGTAACTCTAAAGTATTATAATATTGTTACTATAGAATTTTATAGTAATTTACCAATTACTAGAGAATTTGATTTCTTTTAGAAATTTTCTTTTGGCTGTTTGAATTTTCCCTTCTATAAATTCTCTATACACATGTCTTGTTCTTTTTTATGCTGTAGTGCTTTCTAGTTTTTTTTTCTAAATGTTGTTTGTATTATAGGTACAAACACTTTGCCTGTCAAAAATATTTCAAATATTTTTCTAATACTATTGTTTCTCTCCTGAATTTATATATTTGCCACAAAAACTGAAGCAATTTTATGCAGTCATATTTACTTTAAAAGGATGTGGGTTTTCCTGTCTTGATTTTAAACAATCCTAGTTTTTTTCCAACCTCCTAGATTACTTTGGAAGTTTTATCAAATTTTATTTTTTACTTTAAGGTCTTTAATTCATCTGCAGCTTATTATTTTGTATTATTAAATATAAATAAAATACGTTTACTTTTTCTTTCTTTCATATATTTAGCTAGTTTTGACAGTTCCATTTATTGTCCCAGTAACTTAGACCATTATCCTTGTTGTAAATTAAATTTTTAAATATTTGTGATTTAATATTTCTATTCTCCAGAGCCTACTGATCCATTTGCCTATCTCAACCAATGGCAATGCTGTGTGTGTGTGTGTGTGTGTGTGTGTTTCATAGGATGCCCTACTTTTCCTAGCCACCTCCCCCATTTGTAGCTAGGTAGAGTCAAGTGATTATTCAGGCCAATAGGTTGTGAGTGAAAACAATTTATGTCACTTCTAGTTTGGGGCATAGACTTCTCCATGTGTTGTATTCCCTCTGCCAATTGCCATGTTCCAAATGTTTCAGTTACAAGGTGACTTTCTTGTAATTGAAGACTCTGTCTCTATCATCTCTAGTTCCCAAGTGACTATGTAACATAGACCCTTGTCAAAGCATTATGGGCACGTAGCATAAGCAAGAAATAAACTGTTGCTATATGAAGGTGGGATTTGGGATGAATTCATTGCTCATCAGGTGATTGCTCATCCTGAGTAATATAGGAATAAGGATTCTGATATCTTTAGGACAAGTTCCCCTGAGGGCTCATTTCATGCTTTTCTTACTTATTTCAGGATATCACACTTAAGCTTAAATAGTTTTTATTCCACTTTTAAAACTCCAAACAACAACAAGAAACTTCATTAGTATTCCAATTAATATTCTAATGGGAAATGATTGATATTTGTTTTGTTAATATTGATAAAATTGAGTTTTGATATTGGGGCTGTTTATTCAAGAACATGAGACGTCTTTCTATTTCTTCAGGTCTTGTTTTCTGTCTTTTAAAAATATCTTATAGTTATGTTTAAAGTAGATCCAGTTTTTGAATTAAATTTATTTCAATCGATTTTTATAATTTTTTGATATTGTAAATGAGATAATAATAATAATTTAATAATAACATTATTAAAATCATATTGATGCTAGGTCAAAGAAAAACTATTGATTCTGTGTATGCATACGTGTATGTATATGCATGTGTATTTCCTAGCCAGGTTACTAATTTTTATTTATTCTAATGTTATTTTAGCTAAACTTGCTAAAGAATCTTTTATGCTTAAGTACTTTTTTCTGCTTTATTACTTTGAAGAATAATAGAAATATCTTGTCATTTATTTTGAATTGCCTTCTTTCAGGATCTATTGATTGTATGATCTTTCTCTCTAGTTTATTGACACAATGGATTAAGTGAATAGACTT